ATGTCAAACCATACTTGCGTCCCCGGAGTGAAGCCTACTTGGTCATGATATATGATCATTCTGATGACTTACTGCTTTCCTTTTGCCTTTTAATTCCATTCTCTCTGTCCACCCTAAACTATACATTATTGTATACATTAATCATCTTATATTTTCTTCCTTTTAAACCCTAGAAAGTATTGTTATTATCTTGTCCAGCTTGTTTGTCTAGACTTGGTCTTTTTTCTTTTCACCTCTGGCTTACTAGCAGGGTGCCTTTCCTCTGTCCTAAATATGTTCTTTAGTGATCCTTGAATAAGATTGTACTAGCAGCAAACACTTAATCATTATTATCTGAAGTGTGTTGATCTTGTCCTCAAGTTTTGGCAGATATTTTCCCCGAATATAGACATCTTAGGTTAACTGTTACTATTTCTCAGGACCTTGAAAACCTGCTTTCACTATTTTCTAGTTTCCTTTGTTACAATGGAGAAATCACCATAGTTGTATCCATCTCTCCTTTCAGGTCATTTTCTATTCTTTCTGAAAACCTTTAGGGCATTCTCCTTGCTGTGATGGTTTGCACTTTCACTATTAGGTGATAAAATGAATTTCTCAGTTTTTGTTTATGGGATTTGTTAAGTTTCTTGATTCTGTATATTGGTGAATCTGATCAGTTAAAAACAGCCATTATTGCTTGAACAATTTCTTCTTCTTTATTCACTTCAGCTTTCTATCAGCCACGTTTTGCCCCTTTAAATTGAATTATGGACATTTAAAAATGTATCATATGTGCATTGACTAAACACCACTTCATTGACAGGATCACCCTTCACTGAAGGGGGCACCCACTGGGTTTTAGGGTGGAACACCCATGTGTGGCTCTTCCCTTGCATGAGGTCTTGCCTTCATCTCTTATTTTCATGTCAGCATGGCCTGGCAAAGCAAAGTGGAATTCCCTGTATTTGGCAAACATCCTCAGAGTAGCAGTCAGTTGCTCTCCTCCCCTGCCTGGTCTGGCTGTCCACCTTCCAAGCTCCCAGGCTGGGCAGGCTTACTTTCTTGCCTATACAGCAAGGGAATTTGTAATCTGGGTAACTGAAAGAGAAATTTAACTCTGCTTGTTCATTTGACTTTTCTTATTTTCTTATCCAGAATTAATAGTTCCCTTCAGGGTTATTTTCCCCCTTTTTCATCATCTTTTCTTGTCTCTCACATTGTAGTCTTTCCTCAAATGTCCGTTTGTTTGGTTGCCTTTCCCAGCTTAAGAATCAATCATTAGAAAATCTGACTGGAAGCTCTCCCGTGGGTGGATGTGGAATGCAGAGTAAGCTGGAAGTGACAGCAGGAGGAGGCAGCTATATGGAGGGAACCCGGAACCGTGATACGGAGGGTTTCCTCTGGGATGGCCTAACCTTTGGAGAAGAACCTCCTAATGGCCTGCCTCAGGAGCTACCTTGAAATTTGGGGTTCTGAATTATGGGGAGGGAGGGGATTGTGGGGCCTACTGTTTCATAGGCAAAGCTTCTACTAACACACTCTTTCAGCCCCCAGCTCCTTGCATCCAACATTTCTGAACTTGTATCTCCTTTGGATGCTCAGCCGCTGTGACGGCCTCTGCTGCAGCCTCTCTGGGCTCATACGGATGTTCTGCCTGATATATCTTCTTCTTTGTTTGTTTGTTTGTTTGTTTCTGGTACTGGGGATCGAACTCACGACTTTGCACTTGCCGGGCAGGCACTGTGCCACTAAGCTAAATCCCCAGTCCCTGATATATCCTCCTCCCTTGCCTTCCAGGCATTTGTTTATGTCTGATCACCGAGTCCCAAGTTCTCCATGACACCAGTGGTTTTTAACCTTTATGCCACTCAATTGCTTTAAGAAGGTTTTCCAAAAGAGAGACGATGTGTGGGCTCTAAAAAATATAGATCCATTTTACCGAATAGGTACTGCGTGGAAAATTTGTTGCCTTGACCCTGATCTCTCATTCAGTGCAAATAAGATAAAGCAAGAAGTGCAAAATATTGTCATATATTTGTATTTACACAGACCTATTCGTGGCCATTCACACATTCTCATACAAATTTCAAGCTGATATTGGTTCTAAGTAAGCGATAATCAAAAATTATTTTGATAATTTTGATAATGAACCTGCTAACATTCCTATAAGCAGTTCAGGCTTTTTTTTTCCTTTTAATCCTTTTGAGACAGGGTTTCACTATGCAGTTCAGCCTGGCCTTGAGCTCACTTTGTAGCCCAGGCTGGCTTTGAATTCACAGTGATCCTCCTGACTCAGCCTCCCGAGTGCTGGGATTACAGGCGTGCACCACCACACCCCACCAGTTCAGGCTTTTAAAACTCCATTGTTAGGGTTCTGAGGGGCAGAGACAGCCAGCGCAGCTTGTACCCACTCATTACACTGGCCATTTCACTCAGCTCGAGGCACGGCTGTGAGCATCCTTGACTAGGTCTGGTCTCCAGATTGAAGGCACAAATATTCTCCCTTGGACCAAGACCAGTCCAAAGGACACTCAAGGGGATTTCCATGGGAAATTTCTCCCCTCCCCAGCCTCTCCCTCCAGTCTACTCTGAGCACCATCTCATGCACATGGTAGGGGACAAGGCCCCTCTGCCCTAACCTTCCTGTCCTGTGAAGTGAGCATGGCTCTGTGTGACGGGTCAGAGGAAAAGTGAAGGAGGTGAAGCAGGAAGTGGTTGTGGCAGAGAGGGAGTGTTGCTGCACACAGTTATGTTTATAGCCCGTGAGCTTATTCTTGGAAATGGGCTGACAGCAGCTGAAGACCACAGGTTTTCTGAAGTGCTGTAGAACATCCTCTTGTCTTTTTGCCCTACAATTTCTAACAGAATGGTGCAGATATTTGTGTGTGTGAGAGAGGGGAGCCTATGGGTTAGAACAAAAGATGTCAAACTGTGCAGCAGAAAGAGGAGATAAAGCCAAGAGCAAAAACTGTTGAAAGTCAACTGCAGTGTCCTTGAGGGCTGAGCGGTGTCACTAAACGCCTACCCAGACTCTGGCCACACTTGGGAGATTCTGTTTCTATCATCCCGGTCATTGGATGGCTACGGATTCCTGGGATCCTGATAAGTGGGAAGGTGAGGACAGGTTCGAAAGGCCTGGGATGAGTTCGTCAGAGCTGGCAGTGCCTAAGTCTCAGCACCATCTGGTTCCTCAGTTATTCTGTGCCAGGTCATGAATAAAGCTGCCAAATTTACCTGCAAAGGTCTCCAATTCAGCATTTCACTGACGCCTATAAAGATTAAAAGTCACTAAGTAAACAGACATTCAAGGAGGGCTTGCCAGTCTGACCCACCAAGTCCCTCTGAACATCAGACTTCTCACTGTCATTGTCAGGGATCCAAACACCGTGCCCTTGTTTGTCTCTGTCCCTGGCACTACGACAGGTAACAGATCACTTAGGGTTCACAAAAGATGTAGACCTTAAATGTAAGGCAGCAGTAATACCGAGATCTGGAGGAGGAAATAGACATGAGTTACGTGAGTTCTGTTACTATTCATGTGGAGCGGCTGAATGGCACTTCAAGGTAGGCTGTACGACATTAAAGAGGTAAACTGCAAATCCCAAAGCAGCCACCAAAGGAGAACAAAATGAATTGCAGCTAAAAAACCAACAGCAAGAGATAAAAATGAAAGCATAAAGTTCAACCTAAAGGAAGGCAGGAAAATGGGAAAAGGGGGAGCAGACTGGACAAATAGAGAATAAATAGTAAAAATTGTAGATTTCAACCCAAGGATAGCACTGATCACATGAAGTATAAAAGATCTAAATACCCAAGTTAAAAATAGACTCAACTATATGTTACCTGCAAGGCATCCACTCTATTTAAAAAACACACACCTGGATGAAAAGGGTAGGGAAAGATATGCCATCCTAAATTCAAACAAATCTGGAAGGGGCTGAAAATAGCCCCACGGTGGAACACTTGCTTAGCATGTGTGAGGCCCAAGGTTCAACCCCTAGCACCACCAAAAGAATCAGACAAAGTAGGTTTTAAAACAAGCAATATTATTGAGAATAAACATAATTTCATAATGACAAAAGGGTTAATTATTCAGGACAATAAAATAATCCTACGCCGTTGTCTCTCTAACAATAGTTTCAAAATACATGATACCAAAATTGATAGAAAAAAAATGCAAAAAGAAATAGACAAATCCAGTTGTAGTTGGAGATTTTGATACTCTTCTCTCAAATAAACACTGCAGTATACAGGAGACTTCATTGCATCAGTCTAATTTACATTTATAGAAGATTCCACCCCAAATAGCAGACTACTGTTTTCAAATGCAGGTGGAATATTTACTAGGATAGACCATACTACAGGCAACAGGAAATCTGTATTATTGTGAAGGTATCAAGTAATACAAAATATATTCTCTAGTGACAATGAAGTCAGAGATCGATAATATATCTGGAAAATCCTCAAATGTTTGAAAACTAAATTATATCTTTCGAAATAAATCATGAATCACAGAAGAAATCAAAAGGCAAATTAGAAAAATTTATGCTCAGAGAATTTTAGGTCTTATCTTTCTTTGAACTTGTTGCCAATTTGTACAATTAGTAAAGTAACACAAAAGTAAGCCTGCAATCCTGAAGTCTTAACCCCCCCATTTGTGGGGTTTAATGATAAATTGGGAGCCACAGCTCCTGGAGAGTAGCTGGCAGGTCTCTGGAATTGGCCTACTGGTTTTTTCCCCCCAAGAATTGCACAGTGTGACCCATGTAGAGTGTTTCTGTAGCCAATAGGTGTACACGGCTGTTTAACTTTAAATTAATTAAAATAAGACTTAAGATTCAGTTTTGCAATCACACCTACCACGTTGCAAATGCTCAATAATTCTGCATGGCTCATGGCATAGCAATCGCTGCAGGTTAGTGAAGCTGGATAACAAAATGGGCAGGTCCCTTGAACAAGCAAGTTTTGACAGTCCCTCCTCTCACTTCCTCTGTGATCATCTGCTTGACATCCTGGCTTAGCAGTACTTGAAAAATCAGAGAAGGCTGCAGGACCCAGACTTTCCAGGTAAGTGATTAGGGATGGGTGTGTGGGTAGAGATTATCCAATTTGGTGGAGAGGGTTCAGCTTTCTGCTAACTCTCTATGCTAAATCTCCAAGAAACCTGGCTCTCAGAATAAATTTTTTGCTGATTCCTGTTTCTTGTCTTTTCTGATTTTAGACTATAATCTTTCTCGAATGCTGAGCCTTCAAATTAATGTCTCTTTTAGGGACTACCACTTACAGGCTACTTGTTTTACAAATAAATTACTCCTGCACTGGTTACAGAATTTAAGAATGAACTCTGTCTTCCTGAGATAGAGTTAGTTGGCTGAGTGGACAAAATTTGCTTTGGGAGGTGGTGGCGAGGAAAACATCGGGACCCATAAGGGCCCAGCACAGCAGGCAGTCCCCCGCCTAAACCAGCGCAAGTCAGGATCAGAGGCTCTGCAGTCTGAGGTTTCGTTACCCCATTAACTGTCTGCTCAGAGCCTCCCCCTAGGGAGTCCACCTCTTCAGGGACAGCCCTTTCCGGGGTTCACTCAGAGTTGAGCTTCTTTTAGAAGGCAGGAGAAAAGAAATGCCACCATGTGCGACTGCAGTTCAAACTGGAAGCGAAAGATGCCTGTTCTCTAGGCAGAGAGAGCTAAGCCATTTGAGGTTGGCCCTGCTAGACCCCATCTCCTGGTTTTGCATCTGAATTAGGGTTGGCAGAGCAGCATTAAGGAACTCCTGTGTCGGAAGAAGGGGTCTTAAGAAACACCAGAGACCCTCTACTTTCCTGTTGGTATCCTGTCTCTTCCTCTAACACCACTTTGTGATCAAAGTTGTATTTTTTAAATGTTATTCTTTCTTTTCCTGGTTTATCAATAGCTATTTCCTGACGCTCTTCTCCTAAAGTAAAGAAATAACCCTTCCTTCCGAAGAAGGGTATTGCTTTGTGCCTCCAATTTGTATTTGATGTTTCTTAACTGGCGACTTGTCCTTAACAAGAAACCTTTTCAGCCTGTCCCAGTCAAAGTGTGCTCCAGAGAGAGGAGTTCGTCCAAACACTTGTGGGCAGCAATGAAAGAAAACCTTAAAAAGTGAATACTACTGAGTGTTGATGAAGAAGGAAAGAATCGTTATTTTCACAAATCAGATGTGGGCCTGGCAAGAAAAGAGAAACAGGAGGCAGAGAGATTGTTTATCAGTTCATTTATTTAACGCATGTTTATTGGGAACCTCTGTTTGTCCAATATTGTGCTTGACTGCAGGGAGCAAATAGCAGCACAAGACACGTGGTCCTCCCAACACCAAGCTTCCAGTCCAAGGGGAGACAGTAAGATATCCAAAAGACAACCATGTATTGTAACGTGTGCCCTGTTAGGAGCCCCCATGGCGCCACCAGAGCCCGTGCGGGTGACCACACCAGTGCCTGGTATCCAGGGCCGGTGCTGGGGCCAGAGGGAGGTGTAGGGGAAGAGCTCTCTGGGGAGCAGAGGCCAGAGGGTTAAGCAGGAATAAGCAGGATGCCAGACTAGGGTGGGAGTGCTATCAGGAAGACAGTGCTGCAAAGTCCTTAAAAGAAGTAGCTTAAAGGATTCTGGGGCAGTTGAGGAAGCCACTGTGGCTGATGTCTTCTGAAAAAGAAGGTAGTTGTTGTGCAGGGGCTTATGGACTGTTGCATGGATTTAAATTCTTTTCTTCTGTTTTATTTCACTAATGCATATTAATTACCTAGACTCATGGACTTCATTTGGGCAGATTCTTGCATGCATATAACATACTTTGATCATTTCTCCCCAGTTATCCCCTCCCCCTTGTGCCCTTCCTCGTCTCTACTAATCCTCTGTGGGAAGAGCAGCTAGAAAATATTCCCCTAATTCTCTAGACTGCCTCCTCACTCTGTTAATTATTCCCTTTGCTGGGCAGAAACTTCTTAATTTGATGTAGTCACTTCTTAATTTGATGTAGTCCCATTCGTTAATTCTTCTACTATTTCTTGTGCTATAGATGTCTCATTCAGGAAGTCTTGAAGTGTTGCCCCTATTTCTTTCCAGTGGCTAGGTCTTACACGGAGGTCTTCCCTTTGAAGTAATTTTTGCACAGGATAAGAGATAGGGACCTCGTTTCAGTCTTTTGCATACAGATGTCCAGTTTTTCCAGAACTATTTGTTAAAGAGGCTATCTTTTCTCCAACATATTTTTGATGCTTTTGTCAAGAATCAGACAGCAGTAGCTGTTTGTTTCTGTATCCTCTGTTCTATTCCATTGGTTTATGCATCTGATTTTATGCCAATACCATTCTGTTTTTGTTTATATGGTTGAGTAGTGTATGTTTTTAACCTGGGTATTTTGATAGCTCTAGCCTTGCTCCTTTTGCTCAGAATCTCTTTGACTGTCCTGTGTCTTTTATGTTTCTATATTAACTTTGGGATTGATGTTTTTTAGTTCTGTGAAGATTGTCATTGGCATTTGAATGGGAGCCATTATTGAATTTTCAGAAATATAGCAATTTTATCAACACTGATTCTACTGACCTGAGAACATGGGAGTTCTCTCCATCTTCTAGTGTTTGCTTTGATTCCTTTCCTCCGTATTCTGTAATTTTCGTTATAGAAGTCTTAGGGTCTTTTACCTCCCTGGTTACATTTGTTCCCAGATAATTTTTTCGTTCTTTCTTTTTAAGATATTGCAAATGGATTTTTTTCTTGATTTCTTTCTCAGCAGGTTCATGTGTAGAAAAGCAATTGATTCTTGTAAGTTGTTGGTATCCTACCACCTTGCTGAATTTGTTTATCAGATAAAAGTCATCTGTTGGAGTTTGTAGGATCTTCTAAGTAAAGCCTCATATTATCTGCAAATAGGGATAGTTCGACTCCTTCCTTTTGTATTGGCCTTCCTTTAATATTTTTCTTTAACCTAATTTCTCCAGCTAAAATTTCAATTATTATTTTGAAAAGAAAGTGATAGTGGAAGCCGGACAAAGTGGCACAAGCCTATAATCCCAGCACTTGGAAGACTGAGGCAGGAGGATCACTGCGAGTTCGAGACCAGCCTGGGCTACAAAGTGAGCTCAAGGCCAGCCTGAACTGCATAGCGAGACCCTGTCTCAAAAAGACCAAAAAAAAAAGTGATACTGGAAACCTTCATTTCATTCCTTATTTTAGATGAAAATCTTTTAGCTTTTCCCCATTCAGTATGATACTAGCTGGGAGTTTGTCATATACAGCCCTTATTATATTGAGGAAGAGCCTCTTAAAACTAGTTCCTTCAGGGCTTGTGTCATTAAGGGATGTCAAATTTTGCTGAAGGCTTTTTCTGCCTCCATGGCAATGAACACGTGATTTTTAATCCTTGATTCTGTTTATGTAATGTATTACATTTATTATTGGTAGTGTTGAACCAGCAAAGATTTAAACTATTTTTTAAAGGCAATAGGAAGCCACAAGGGAATCTAAAGAAAAGAAACCCAAAAAAACTCCAGAAATGTTTAGTGTTAAAGTAATGTCTGATGGACTGAAGGCAAAATGACCCCTTAGGGAGCTGTGACAGTGGACTGAATCAGCATATTTGAGGTTTTTGGAAGTGGAATCGATAGGACTTGGTGAAGGGCTGTTGAGAGTAAGGAAAGAAGAGTTATAAATGATTCCAAGGTCCAGTGGGAGCCACGGCTACATGGCGATCCCATTAATTGAGATGAGGGATTGTGGGTGGCAGTAGGGTGAAGGATGTCTTTGCAGGCAGCTTTGCTTGAGATGCCCATGAAACAGCAACGGAGAAGCTGAGTGTGACATAGAAGCTTGGAACTCTAAGGAGCAGGTGGGCTGGGATTATAGGCTTGTGCTACTCAGGCACCGCAGTCCTGAGTCCCTTGATAAACGGGAGCCAAGGGCCAGAACCAGTGCTGGGAAGTGCCACCACGTTCTAGTGTGTGTAAAGAAAAAGCAACAGCCTGAAAATGGAGAATCGAGGCCAATTTTGGGTGGGAGGGCGGGGGAACCAGAGTAGGAAGTTTATACCAAGAAAGAAAGTGTTGGCCACGTAGGAGGTCAGGATTCCAAGCTGCAGTCCATTTCCTTAAAATGACACGGTTGTGTTTCTTTACCTACAGGAATTCAAGGCACAATGGCCGCCCAGGACCACGGGGAGAGTTCTTACCTCGGCAAAGCAGGGATCAGCCACGGTGAGAGGCGGCCAGCATGGCGGGGCCAGGCGGCAGAGAAGAGGGCAGGCAGGGAGGGGGGCGACCAGCCAGTCCCCAGCTGAGCAAGAAAAAGACCACAATCCAGCCCCATTCCTCATTCCTCTCCGCTTACCCTGTTCTTTTGCCAGTCTTGACACTCTGTACTTTCTCCTCACGGCCACGAGAGCTAAATGGGAGAGAGAAAGTTAAAATAGTGTCTGACCCACCCAGGACTCAGCAGTTTCTTATGTCCAGCTTCCTGCAACATGGACACAGGAGGACAGCTGATTGTGGCTTCTCTGGATGCTTTTCTGCCCCTGTCTTCAGTCAGGGAAAGGACTGGGTAGGAGGAAATTGGGAGTCACTGAGCGCTCAGCCTGGTCCTAAATCTCCCTGCTCCTGGTGGCTCCACTGTGACTAACAAATTAAACTGGGTGATGCACGTAGTTCATCCCATAACCCCACATTACTCCTATACCAGTGGAGACAGGCTATGTCAACTGAACCTTTACTGATTTGGCAAACTATCGCACAGTGTAGAGTTTCAAACACCCACCATGTAGTAGCTCCAGACCTTATGGGTTAGCAGGGCAGTTCTTGGGTCCGAGCCCTCTCTTGTAATCTCAGCCCCTTGCCCATGTACCTGTGGTAACCTATGGTTCAGGGTGATGATCTCGATAGCCTCATGGACGTGTGTGTAGGTAACAGGCTCTTGGGTAGGCTCTCTGGATGGCTACAGTAACTGGTCTGATTGTTATCATCATGTACTTGTCTTGGAGCCATCGTGCATAAGAGCTTTGGAGTCTGCTTACATTGTGCTTTCTACTGCATTGTCACCCAAAGCAAGTCACATGGCTCATGGGGTGCATTTTATTTTATTTTATTTTATTTTTGTTTGTTTTTCTCCGGTGCCAGGAACCGAACTCACGACCTTGCGCTTGCCAAGCAGGCGCTTTTGCCGCTGAGCTAAATCCCCAGCCCCATGGGTGCATTTTAATGGAAGGAGTTGCAAATCCACTTCTTAAGAGGCACACTACAGGGAGGCGCTGATTTGGGGCTGTATTTGCAATCTACACGGTGGACTGTCGTTCACACACTTTCAACATCAGCAAGCTGTGGCAGTACTGGAACTGCTGGAGCTACCCAGGATACATTTTCAGTTCACCTGCCATGAATTTCCTATTCCCCTTTTCTATGGCCAACAAACCACTGCCCCCAGGAGACCCTTTAGTCTTTGTCTTAGTTACCTCTCTCTCATTGCTGGGGCAAAATACCTGACGCCCAAAGTTAGGGAAGGAAAGGTTTATTTAGCTCACTGTGGAGGTTTCAGTCCATAATCAGCTGACTCCAAGGTAGGGTGGCATGGCAGAGGAGCAATAGTTCATGGCAGCAGAAGATAGCAAAAGCAACAAAAGCTAAAAGGAAGGAGTATGAGAGAAAACTCTTTCTGTCCCTTATATTGCATGTAGGCTACCCACCCTAAGGCGGGTGTAACACACTCACACTCATAATCCCTGTACTAGACAAAGCCTCAATCACAAACTCTAGATTCAGCTGCCTCCAAAAAGCATCCCCCCATGACTTCATGAAATTTGGGGGGGCATCCAGACACAAACCATGGCAGTCTTCCACTGTGATGTAATTAAATGATCATGTGAACTCCCACCTACTCTTGTCCTTAGGTGACCTTCGCCTTCCTAGATCCAGTGTTCTCATTACTTGAACTTTTAGAAATATACTTTTAAAAAATCCTGGGCTTCTGGTTCTCAAATATGAGAATCTCTGACTTAGGATAGTGGTTGGTTGTTAACTCTTCTCCCTAGCTACTTAATGGAAGAAGAAAATTTATATTTTGAAAATAAATTAGGAAAATAAATCTCCCACTGCAGATGTCCCAAAGTCAGTTGTAATATTTCCTATGGCATCCTCCTGGAAGAACTACCACCAGCAGCTTGTAGTTCTTTTCTGAAACCATCTTGTTTCCACTTGGTGGGGTATAAAGCTACTGAAGGTCAGAGTAATGAGTGAAAGGGAATCCTGAGAAGAGAGTGGAGACAGGAGGTCAAGGGACAGGCTACTTGCTCCAGTGCTGCAAGATGGCCATTAAGCCCGAAGCTGCCTGTGGATCTTGTGAATGCAGTGAGGATGGGGAGAAGCCTACAGCCAGCAACAGAGAAGGGGATGGGGTAGGGGCACTCTGCAGGAGACACTGCTGGAGGTAGATTCTAATGCTGTGGCTTTGGTTTCCTTCATGTCCCAGGGCCTGGAAACCAAGACTACAGAAACTCTCAGCTGAGAATCATTTTAGTGGGCAAAACTGGAGCAGGAAAAAGTGCAACGGGGAATAGCATCCTTGGAGAGAAAGCATTTCTTTCTGGTGTTGCTGCAAAGTCCATTACCAAGGCCTGTCAGAGAGGGAGCAGCACGTGGAATGAAAGAAAAATTGTTGTTGTTGACACACCTGGTATTTTTGACACTGAAACCCAGGATGCTGACACACAGAGGGAGATTGCCCACTGTGTCCTCCTGACCTCCCCGGGGCCTCATGCTCTGGTCCTGGTGGTCCCACTTGGCCGTTACACTAAGGAGGAGAGCAAAGCCACAGAGAAGATCCTGAGTATGTTTGGACACAAGGCCAGAAGATTCATGATTCTCTTATTCAGTAGGAAAGATGATTTGGAGGGCACGAGTCTCCGTGATTACTTAAAGCATGCTCCAGAACACCTCCAAAAGCTGATAGGCAAGTTTGGTGATCGCTACTGTGCATTCAACAACAGGGCAACAGGAGCTGAGCAGGAGGCCCAGAGAAACCAGCTGCTGACCCTGGTCCAGCACATTGTGAGGGAGAATGGTGGAGAATGCTACACCAATCATTTTTACCAAAGGGCTGAGGAGGAGATTCAGAAACAAATCCAGCAGGTACAGAGAAATTACAGAGCAGAGCTGGAGAGAGAGAAAGCACAGCTAAGACAGGAGTATGAAGGGAAGATCAGAAAGCTGGAAGATAAGCTGGAACAGGAAAGGAGAAAGGCCCAAATGGAGAGAGAAATAACAAGAAGAGAGACTTTCTGTACTCTGAGACAGCAAGATGCCAGAATGGAAGTTGAGAAACAGGCTTCCATACTGGAATTAATCATTAACGCATGTAACATTGTTTACTTTTTCTTTTCTCTGTTTCAAGATTAGGCTTATTGAGAATTTGTCTATTTTCTGCCTGTTCTTGAATGAATCTGCCTCATAGGGCTCACTTACCAAAAGGCAAGAGCTCTAGTTAGTTTCACAAGGCCTCCATGAATAAGTAACATAATAAGTGGCCAGTAGTAGATGTTTGATTGATTTAGCAGGAGGACATACTCTCAATTTGTGAAATTTCAAAGTAGAAAGTATTGGTACTTGCTAACTGTGAATTCTTCTTGACAGACACACGGAAAGGAATGCAGGAGGCCAAAGAACATGACCCCAAGCTTTATTCGGTAGTTTCCTGTAAAATTTTTGTCAGCATTATTTCTAGATTGGTAGATACTATCTGCTTGCTACTTCTACTCATATATCTTTGCCTTTAGGACAACAATTATTATCTTAACCCATATGGTTTGTTAGAAAGCTCAATTCTTTCTTTGCATTAGGTGATCTTGTAGACTGACGTGCTTATAGAATTCTTTCTCGTTTGTTTATTTACGGTTTCACAGAAGAACTGAAGTTGCTATGTATATTATCTGCTCTCTGAAGAACAGACATGTCTGGAGAATATATCTCCCAAAACTCAACCTGGTAGTGATTCCCAAAGGCCAGAAAGAATGAAAGCAATTTCACAGACGAGAGAACAGCGTGTGGTATATTCAGGTGTGATCAATCTCAATTAACCAATTTGATGAACAAGCATTTCTTTCCTTGAGAAACTGTTGCCACCCGCCTCCTATCGCCCCATGACTTGAGTGTTTAACACACATCCACACACTTTTGCCCTTTTGCCAATCAATCATTTATTGTTATTAAAATAAAGCTTTTCAGTTTGCTCATATTTGTGCAGAATTAGATTATGTTTTGTCTTGGAAGATACTACTGCTACTTCTAATAATTCAGAGATGAATTTCACTTTTAGGTAAAAGTTAAAGATAATTTTGGAGCTAGACTTGATCTGCTATGACGCTTCCTCTTCTCCTGTCTCTGAAGATTTGAACCATGTTTTCAACTTGCCCACGGGCCAAAATCACAGTTTTCCTTGTTCTTCATGGTGTGCTGAAGGAATTTGTGTGTGACCAAGAAATCCAAGACCTGTGCAACTTCCCTCATATAAAAATTCTCTTTTATATAAATAATGAGAGTTGAAGTCTCTATTTATTTTTCACTTTTCTGCTGGATTCCCTTCACCTAGATATTTCTAGGAATCTCAAAACCATGTTCCCGTGCTCTACCAATATATAGTATAGTAGATGCAAGTCCAATTCTCTTTGCTCTGCCATCTCAAAATTGTCTATTTCATGACTTCAACCCCCCACCAAATAGGGCATATGTCTTTCCATTATTTCCCCTAAGCACAAGAGTTTGTTTGGATTTCACATTTAACAAACTTAGTAAAGTTGCTACGGCCACACAAGATTCCTTCAGAAATGGTCACTTAGAGGTCTGTAACTTGTGTCTCAGAAAAATGTGACTCTATTTTCATCATAGGAGTCCTTGCCAAAATTCTAAGATATGGCTTGGACATCCTACTGAATGTCCAACGGTCTATAAATAAATATTTGAACAATAAGCCACATATGCCTCCCAAGGAAAAATAAGTACATGTCTAATATGAAAATAAACTTTTAACTGCTATGGTTATTTTTGATGTAAATTACACTCAGTTATTCTTACCTTTTTACTCAGGCAAATGCTGAAAATGAGGCAAAGAAAGAGGTTCTTCCCTGTAGAAGCATCAGTAGTTGAGAAGCACACTTGGAAAACCCTGGGAAGAGGGTTGACCATTTGCCCCCTCAGTGAGAAGGCAGACAGAGTCCTTGACAAATACTGTGCACTGTGATTACTGTGAGAGAATGGGACATATTTCCTCTTACTGAGAGTTTTGGGGTTTTATGCCTATTGAATAATTCAACAACATTGATTTATTGTTCGTCTTTCATGGCAGTTTAAACTAGACAGTGAGAAGCTAGAGAAAAGTAAAACAAAGTCCATTTTGAGACTGGTTTCATTCATCTCAGTGTAACCAATTCTCTCCCTCTGGGTACTTGTCCTGAGGGTGATAAGGAAGGAAGCTGACTGCACCACAGTGGGGAACAAAGTAGGTGTGGTTTATTAGAAAAAACAAAAGGAAAGCTCTAGTCGCTAGTCAGAAGGGTGTTGGAGGTCCAATGTAAGGGCTGAATTGCTGAACATAGGGATCCCTGGCCATGTTGGAAAAGCTCATCTTCACAGTTCTCTGAGGACAAGATAACACTACAGCTGAGGCATCGGAGGACACAGGCTGCTGGAACTGCCTATCCCAAGCAATAAAGCTGTCAACCTTAGAAATCAAACAGTTCTCTCATTTTTTTTTAAAGTAATGTAATACTTTTTTTTTTTTTAGACTTACTGCCTTTGTTCTGTCTTCTTTCATGGGCTTTCACACCCCCACTTCCTGCACCCCCTGAATCTTTAGAAACACAATAAATGCTGTGATCTGGAAAAACTCATGGTGTTAGCTGCCAGAGAATTCTGGCCTTCCTGGATTCCCCCACATTATATTGTCCCTTTTATTTAAGCCTTTGCATAGCTCATTTTAGGACATTGGGAGCTAGACCAAGTCCCCAAGAAGAGGGGTTCCCAGGGAGGACACTACAGAGGCATCTAAATCTAGACCCTCATATGCAGTCTTTGGCACACAAAAGAAGCAGTAGATATGCAGTTGTCAGTCTTGCTAGGCTTTTGATGCCCAGAAAGTCTCCAGTTTGCAGAGCCTTGTCCTGGTTTACTCACACTCTTACCCTTATCTGCCTGTCTGCATAATGGTTTTGAGAATCATCCAAATTACACATACTGTGAGGGTTGAATCTTAAACGTCTCCCAAAAGCTCATGTGTTGGAAGGTTGGTCACAGCGTTCAAGGGTAGAGCCTTGGGAGGTGATTGGCTCACGAGGTTCTAAGCTCGTGAATGGATGAATCCATTTCAGGACCCGTAGCTCACTGGGTTTTGGGAGGAAAGTCTTTGTTAGCAGAGCAAGGTTCCTCTCTGTTTCCTGGGTGCTATGAGCTGAGCAGCTTAGCTCCACCACCCTCTGTCTACCATGATATTTTGCCTTATCAATGGATTTATCAACTCTGGGCCAAAAAAAATCTTTCCCTTTTTCAGGTGATTTTCTCTGTTATTTCATCACAGTGACAGTTGATTAACACATATACCCATTATTAACACATACAACCATCAGTCATTCCCTTTATTAATGAGCAATGTTCTATCCTATAGATATTCCAAAATTTATCATTTTTTCTTTTATCCTTATACATCTATTTGATTTCTCTTGTCTGAGTGCATTGGCTGATACCTGTTATAATGATGAATGGTTGGCATGCTTGTCCTGGTAATTCCTGCAGTGTTTTCCAATTAAGTAAGATATTGGACTACAGTAGTACACACTGATTTACTTTTTGTCATCTTAAGCTGGGAGTTCAGATCTTCAATTTTAGAACTTTTGCTTTTTTCCTAACATAAGGCTATAAAGTTATAAAATCTCTCCTTATGCGTATTTGTCCATATTTTTATTTGGAGAGATGGTAAGAATTATTATTTCACTTACAAAAAGTTCTTATGGAAAATTGCAAAGAAGTCTAAAGATTTAAATTTTTACCAAACATGATATCAGAGATATTGCACTAAGGCACCAAGCAATTGCCCATAAGAACAATTGTTTGTTCTTTTTAATAACATCAAAGTTTAGCTGATTTAAAATTGTAAAACAGACAAATATGTACTTCTCTTCATTTTAGATGAAAAGTTGGAGCAATTCAGGGTGAAAATTTCATAAGTTAGCTCCTTCTCTGAAAAGATAAAACTCCAGGCATGTTTTGTCTTTAGCAAGCATGTCCAACCCATAGGCCACCTTTTTTTAACCCTCATTTTTAAAATGTGATAATAAGGAATATTTTAAAAAGAAGTTTTATTGCATACATTAGATGAAGCCCAAGAAAATTTCCTTTTAGTACAAAAATGAAGGCATAAAGCAAACAAAGCAAAATAAAAAAACCAAGCCAACCAAGCTAACCAACCAAACAAACAAACAAAAACCAAAGGTGAGCCACAGTTTGGATATGGCTGTGACTGAAAACTTTTCCATATTTATGAACAGATGTAACTTTGAAGCTAAAATGTCAATTTAGTGGTATATATTTTAAAGATTTGTATTTTTTTTAGAGAACTCTTGACTTATTTTATGCATCATCTCTGGCAAATATTGCATTGAGAATGGCCAGGCAGCATTTGAACTCATGCCCCTTGGAGATAATCATTATATAACTCAAGCCATGCAAGTGAATTATAATACTATGGAAAAAAAATAATACTATGGGAAATTATGCCAACGGTGGAATATCAGCTGGAGAATCACAAAGTGTCATGTATTCAAAATAAACGAAATTATTTGGGGAACTAACTACATTATGTTTTAATAAACAATTACTACATGTTCACAGAACTAAGTTCTGTTTCTGTGACTAGGTCATTAAATGAATTTGTTGCTAAAAGAGGAATCTCATGTAGTACGCAGACTGTAATATTCAGAACAAAGAAATGGTCAAAAGAAACTCCAACTTGATGATTTTGCTTTTATTTGTGTAACTCCTACATGTACTTTAATGTATAACAGAACATAAAACTATAGTACTGTATAGTACAATTAGCAAAAATTATAGTATTGTATAAAGAAGATGTACTGTACAAAAAGACACTGAGGCTCAATAAACAAAATGTACGGAACTATACTCAAAAAAGGAGAGGTCATAAGTCCAAGCAGCAGGTCATAAAATCCGACCCGCCGTTAAACAGGTAGGTCCTTAAACGGGGAATGTTTGATGTTTCCCTTTTGGGACAGCTTTCATTGTCTCCCATAGGTTCTTGTGTGTTGTACTAGCATTGTTGTTTGATCTCAGAAATTGTTTATTTTTTTCCCTCGACTTCTTCTGTGACCTGTTGGGTGTACCAGA